TATCTTACTAACAGGGGCAGAACCACCCCATACTTCTTTTGCCATCTATTGATTTACCCACACTATAGCTCCAGGTCTTAAAACCTTCTATTCAAGAGAAAGGATATGGATATTTTTATAAAATCAGTTTGTGTGTGTGTTTTAAGAAAAGAAACCTAGAGCTGTCTGCATTACAAGCATGACTGTGAAAGGGATTTTGTTCAGAGGAAGTGAACATTTTTGCCAACATTCAGAGTCTAGTTGCTCCAAGAAGTCCTAATGTACATCTTTTTTGCCTTGCTGAGTCTTATCTACTTCACCTCCTTAAAATGCCAACCCATGGGCTGGGTGCGTTGGCTCATGCCTGTAATCCCAGCACTTTGGGAGGCCAAGGCGAGCAGATCACGAGGTCAGAAGTTCGAGACCAGCCTTACCAACATGGTGAAACTCCATCTCTACTAAAAATACAAAAGTTAGCTGGGCGTGGTGGTGTATGCCTGTAATCCCAGTACTCAGGAGGCTGAGGCAGGAGAATTGTTTGAACCCAGGAGGCAGAGGTTGCAATGAGCCAATGAGCCAAGGTCGCACCATTGCACTCCAGTGGTCCAATCTGGGCAACAGAGGAAGACTTCGTCTCAAAAAAAAAAAAAAAAAAAAAAAAAAGCCAACCCATGGTTTATCATATCTACAAAACTCAACGCAATGTACATCACTCCCTTTCTTCTTCCTTTTTCTCATTAACTAGCATCATTGCCCTCTTTGGCAACTGCATAGTTAGCAGGTATTGCCAGAAAGGTTCTATAATAGACTGTTGGCTCTTCTGCTCCCTTTTTCCTTTTGCCAAGTTTTTTTTTTTTTTTTTTTTTTTTGTTTGTTTGTTTGTTTTTGAGATAGTGTCTTACTCTGTTGCCCAGGCTGGAGTGCAGTGGCATGATCTCAGCTCACTGCAGCCTCCGTCTCCCGGGTTCAAGCAATTCTCCCACCTCAGCCTCCCGAGTAGCTGGAATTACAGGCGTGCACCACCACGCCTGGCTAATTTCCGTATTTTTAGTAGAGATGGGGTTTCACCATGTTGGCCAGGTTGGTCTTTAACTCCTGACCTCAGGTGATCCGCCAACCTTGGCTTCCCAAAGTGCTCGGATTGTAGGCGTGAGCCACTGCACCTGGCCTCTTGCTAAGTTTTTAGGGACTGTTCTAATACCCTTTAACCATCCCTTCTCTTTTTTTTTCTCCCCCCCGCCCCTTTTTTTTTTTTTTAAATAAATGAAGCCTTTAGATTTGTTTTAGTTTTTCTTCTCACCTACAAGCTCCACTGGCAGGTTGATGCCCTTGTATGGTATCCAGTGATAGACGTTGAATCCATTCTTACTGGTATTTGCTCCTTGGAGGTGAAAAAAATAAATGTTTTATAAAACTCAAATTGGCCTTATCAAACAAAACATCTGCTAGATCAGTGAATGACTGGTGACAGCAGGAGACAGCAGTGCTGGCCTCTCCAATAGAAGTCACTGCAGTTAATGGAAGCTATTATGGGAAAATTCTGGCACGAAGTTTTCTTTTTCTTTTTTTTTTTCTCCTTCAGACAGCTAAAATTTTTTTAAAGAAAAAATGTATTCAGTTGCTAGGGTAACTGTGGTTTCAAAACTACCATAACAAAAGCCAGATATCACATATCAAACTACCAAATTGTTAATTTGACTGGTATTTTAAAATAATTGCTTGAAAGAGATGTTTTCTCCTTATCTTAGCTATAGAGAACAGAGAGAAAGGGAGATCAGGAAAAAAAGAAGAAAAAAGGAGAAAAAAACCTGATAGATTTAAGAAATGTTTTTGCCTTGCTAAATATTTGTTGGAAGTAAAAATTATTTTATGTTACGGATACATTTGCATGCAGGATTTATTTAGTCAGATTCAAAACATAAGGAGGATACTGGGTTATTCTGTTTTCAATTTCTCTTCCCGCATTTCAAGCCTTGCCTGGGTTTTAAGTGAACAGTTTTCCATGGGTACTTGGTAAAGGAACTGGTTGCTTAGGGGAGTCGTGCATGTTCTGAAATCTTCTTTGAGTGGTTATGTTTCTTCTGTGTCTTGCTTTTCATCACTTGATTCAAAGTGAATATAATAAAGCCATTAAGTGCTTGGATTCTGGAATTGGTCATATCTTGGACTAAATTCCTTTTCTATCCCTTACTAAATTCCTTCAACCTCTCTGAGTTTCTTCATTTATAAAAAGAATAAGGCCAGGCAAAGTGGCTTACACTCAACAGTTTGGAGAGGCCAAGGCGGGTGGATCGCTTGAGCCCAGGAGTTTGAGACCAGCCTGAGCAACATGGTGAAACCCTGTCTCTACTAAAAGTAAACAAATAAATAAATTGCTGGGCAAGGTGACATGTTCCTGTAGTACCAGCCACCTGGGAAACTGAGATGGGAGGATCCATTGAGCCCGGAAGGTCAAGGGTACAGTGAGCTGTGATTGCACCACTGTTCTCCAGCCTGGGCAACAGAGTGAGACTTTGTCTCTAAATTAATTAATTAAACCTTTACATATAAAAGAATATCAGCTGAGGGCTGTGGTGTGCATCTGTAGTTGCAGCTACTGGGGAGGTTGAGGTAGGAGGATCCCTTGGGACCAGGAGTTTGAGCCTGTAGTGCATTATGATCCCACCTGTGAATAGCAACTGGAGTCTGTCCTGGAAAACGCAGTGGGACCCTGCCTCTTAAAAAAACCGGGTGGGGGTGGGGAGGGGGATATCAGAACAAATAATTTGCAAGGAAAGGAAAAGAGAGAGAATAACGTATAGATTAAAAGACACTTGGGAGGTATATTAACTAAATGCAATGTGTGCATGTTTAGATCTGATTTGAAAAAAAATAACAACTAAAAAAATCATTTATGACACAACTGGGGAGACTTTAATGTGTTTAGATATATTATAGAATAACATGGTATTGGAGAATTTTTGGTGTTTTTTCTTTGACATTTGGATGCATACCATAATATTTACAAATAAAATAATATAATATCTGAAATTTGCCTCAAAAAAAGGAAGAGGGAAATGGATGGGATAGAGATGAAACAAGTTTGGCCATGAGCTGACAACTGTTGATACTGGGTGATGGAGATAGAAGGGCTCATTAAAATATTCTATTTCTAAATAAGTATTTGATTTTTTTTTTTTTTCAATTTTCAGACAGGATCCTGCTCTGTCACCCAGTCTAGAGTGCAATCATGGCTCACTTCAGCTTCGACCTCCCAGGCTCAATCTATCTTCCCATGTCAGCCTCCCCAGTAGCTGGGACCACAGGCACACACAACCATGCTCAGCTAATTTTTGTATTTTTTATAGAGACAGGGTTTTACCATGTTGCCTAGGCTGGTCTCAGACTCCTGGGCTCAAGGGATCTGCCCTGCCTTGGCCTCCCAAAGTGCTGGGATTATAGGCTTGAGCCACTGTGCTCAGCAGGTCTTTTCTACAATAAAAGTTTTAAAAAAGATATCAGTAAGACTCACCTGGTAAAGTTATTGTGGGGATTAAATGAGATGCTGTGTGTAAAGCACTTGGCAGAATGCCTGGTATATAATAATTGCTCAATAAATATTAGCTATTATTTTTAGAGAGAAGGCCTCCTCTTCCCCTCCTGCAGAACTATGAAAGCCAGACCATGAAATGTGTGGCTGACTGGAGCAGCTAACCTTACTCCTTCCAAATCAGGCAGCTGCAGGCTGTCATTGCATTCATCCTCATCCAACCTTGCTTCTGTACTAGGCCCTGTGCTTCCCACACACACACTAAAATTCTGTTTTATAGCGGCTGTTGGCTTTGCCTTTAGTTTCACAGTAAGTTTTAGCTGGGAATGCTATTTCAGTGGAAAATGGAAGGCAGGAACTTTTTTAGCTCAACTATTAATAAGTATTGAGCACATTGTTAGGAATTTTCCTATATAGTTTTATTTAACCTTCACAACAATCCTTCAAAGTCAAAATTATTAGCTTCGTTTTAGAGAGGAGGAAAGACAAGTTTCAAGGCCTGCCCAAGGTCACAGGGCCTTAAAGTGGTGGGCCTTAATTCACACACAGCTCCTGAGACCTCCAAAGGGCTTGTGCTTACCCAGGAGCCCTGGCTATCAGCTCTCTTGCCTTTCTTTTCCTTATCCTAGCTTAAAAACAACTGCCATCCAGAAAAGGTTAAGTTGACATTCCTAATCAAAAGAGTCTGGACCAGGTGCAGTGGCTCATGCCTATAATCCCAGCACTTTGGGAGGCTGAGATGGGTGGATCACGAGGTCAGGAGTTCGAGACCAGCCTGGCCAAGATGGTGAAACCCCGACTCTACTAAAAATACAAAAAATTAGCTGGGCGTGGTGGTGGGCGCCTGTAATCCCAGCTTCTCCGGAGGCTGAGACAGGAGAATCACTTGAACCCGGGAGGCGGAGGTTGCAGTCAGCCGAGATCGGGTGGCTGCACTCCAGCTTGGGCAACAGGGTGAGAGTCTGTCTCAAAAAAAAAAAAAAAAAAAAAAAAAAAATCTGACATCACGTTTATCTGTACTGTAGAGGCAGAGGCAGCACTGGTTTGCAGCCCAGTGGTAAGAGGTCTGCCCAACTGATGGGGAGAGTTACAGGTTTAGGAATAGCTTAGGCCGGTCAGAGGGGAGGCTCTGAATGTAGAAATAGAAAGAAAAAGGTTTTCGGGATTGCACTGACATTTGTGTTTCATTTCCCTCTTGTTCCAAATGCTATTCAACTTAAGGGAAGAAGAAAGCAGGGAGGGATACCTTATAGGAAAACTGTTCCATTCCGAAAATTAAAAACAGCCAGCTGCCATCAAATACCATGGGCCCTTATATTCAAACTTCAGCTGTAATTTCGTTGAGAGGTTGCAATGGCACCCTAAACTGTCAAATGATGAGTTGACCTCAGAATCCTGCTTACATAAAGCCGGACAATTCCATGCAAGGCGGGTATCTGGTTACAACTGAAGTTACTGGTTGTTTACGTCCGACTTGTCCGGGAATGGAGCAGAGAAAGAGGAACCAGAAGAAAGAGAAACTCGCGACAACAGAGTTGCCGAAAGAGAAGTGTTGGCGCCTCAAACTTGAGGATCAGCTTCTCGGGCCCCACTCCAAGGTGTCGTGGCGGTCGGGTTCTTTCCGCCGCCCCCCGGAAGATTCTCAGCTAACCCTTTCTCCGCCGAGACCCAGAGGCCCTCACTCTGACACCACTCCGGGAGCCAAGCTACTGTAAGGAGCTGATACCACCCCTCGCCGGCGCGAACTGCCCATCTCCCCAGACCCGCCCACCCCCTGCTGCGCATCCCTAACGTTCTAGCCCGGCGAAGGTCCTCTTAAATTAGGAAACAATAGCTATTTAGGAAGAAGGGCAAATAACCCGCGCTCTGCGCGCCCAATCGTGGAATTCTTGGGAGTTCCCCGCGGGCAAGGAACTCTGCTGCTCCCGGCAGCTGCGGAAGAGAAGAGGGAGCCTGCGTGCTGGGGCAGGGGCGTCGCGAACTTGGGGCAACCCACTTCCAGGGCCCCGCCCCCGCTTTCCCGCCTGCCGGGGACCCGCCGAATGGGGAACCACCCTCCTCCCTGAGGCAAATTTGGAAGGGGAGGGGTCCAGGAGCGGTAGAGCCGGGGCACCAAGCGCCAGATTCTGCCGCTCAGAAGTCGGGGGCAGTCCCCAGTCCCGCCTCAGGCCCCCGCGCTCACAGTGCGCTCCGCCAAGGGCGCGGTGTCACCGCCACGAAGTCTTTTACTTGCCCTTAAGGAGCCGGCCCTCGACCCCTTGCAGGGTGGAGATTCCTCCCATTCCCTCTTCCCCCCTCCCCCGGGTCAGCGAAGAGACGTGGAATTGAGCTGGAGCGATGATTCCGCGAGCACTGTAATTACGCACACACTGAAATCTTCACCGTTGACTTAAGTTACTTGGCGCTGCGAGGGCTGGGGCCCTGCATATTGATTAAATGCAGCCTCTATTTACCTAAACAATAAATGTAGAGATTAGCAACGTTCACTTGATCACAATAATGGGATTGACAATTAAGGGGCAATGCATCCCAGATGTAGCGGAGCCTATGGGCTGCGTGCAGCGGGCAGAGGGCTTCTCGGAGAGGGGCGCTCGGGCAGTTGCGGCGGCGGAGGTGGTGCAGAGCAGGAAGCGGCGCGGAAGCACAGCGGGAGGCGGAGGGGGACGCCCATCCTCGTCAAGGTCGCCCACCCCGCCCGGGAGGCTCGAAACTGGCTTTGGGGTACCTGAATGCCCCGACTCCCAGGGAGACATCTGGAGCTCGGAGCCACCCTCCCTGCGGCGAGGGCACCTGCCTCAAGGCGGTCTCACTTGCGGATGCCTGGCTGGGAAGGAGGATGGACGCCGCTGGCATGTGCCCTGGTAAGTGTGTCTGTTTGTCATCAGTGTACATTCTGCATGTGGCAACGGGGCGAAGGGGAGGAGCACGTGTCTAAAGTGCACGGAGCCTTCCTCTACCCCTGTGTATATACCCTTCAGTCAATGTTCCAAGAAGCGGGTCAGGGCGGAGGGTATCCTTCTGGATCTGGAAGGGCGTGGGTTTGACATCGGTGGGTGTGACGGGAAAGTCCAGCCTGTCAGGGTTGGGCTCTACAGTGGCCGAAATCAAGAAAGCATGGACGTGTCGGCCCAGGGCTGGCCTGTTTCCGGATATGTCACAGGGGTGCTTCGGTCCTCGAGGGGAGTCTTACGATCTTTTTTTCTCACCCTCTCACTGAACTGTAGGGTTCTGAGAAGAGGTTCTAGGAAGGAGAGGGCTGAAAGGAACTAACTTAGAAAAGAACCCAGGAGAGTGGAACATGGGGTAATAAAAGACAGATGAGCACAGTTGGGTGTGTGTGCGAAATCATGATCCACCTGGAAGGGGTTCCAAGCCCTGGACTGCCATCGCATACTGGCTGCAAAAGACACACGCATGTTGCTTCTCTGATATTTCCCTCTTCTCTCTGAGCCCCATTATCAACCTGGAAGGCTTCTCATTCCACATTTAGACACAAACAAAAGGATTTGTCCCAGACACTCAAGAACAAGCCAGGACGAAGCCCTTTCCCGCCAAACCACGAAGGCCGGGAAATAAACAGCGCCTGCCCAGGCTCTGGGCGCGCGAGCCCGAGAGAGGACTTGGGTGGGAAGAGGCTCTAGAAGATCGGAAGGAGGGAGAGAGAGGTGGGGGAGAAGCTTGGAAAGAGAAGAGGGAGGAGGAAGAGGAGGGACCAGCAAGGCAGAGTGGGACCTGGGGTTCTGTTATAACCGCCCTTCCCCGCCCACGGTCTTTCCATCCCCTGTTCCCCTCCCCCATTTCAGAGCTGAAGGCCGACTGTGGGAGGAGGAGGTTAAACAAAGGGAATCCTCCTCCTCTGGGACGGGTGAAGTGCGTTTGTCCTCTCCTTGCAGGCACTGGAAAAACTGGCAGGAATTTCCTTGTCGTGAGAAGACGGACGAGTGTGTCTGCAGTCGAGGAGACAACTACAAACAGACTTTGGGCAGGGAATGCGGGCGGGCGGGGGTGGGGGTGGGGGCGGGGGCCAGCTTTGATCGCTCCAGCTCTGTTGTAATTTTGTCTTCGCCAGATAGATTAGCTGGAACCGCCAGCCCTAGCTTGGAGTTCCGTTCCACGGAGTACCCTCCCTCCCCACCCCCCGCGTCATCTCGCGCCTGGAGCCGGGTCGCCGCTCCTTCCGAAGTCTCGCTGCAAACTTCAAGGGCTGATGGTTCTGTGTTCCTGACGTAATTAGGAGGCCACGCAGCTCTCCAGCACTCCGTTAAACAAATATGTAAGTCGTCCTCCCTCTCTCTGGGGACAGACTCTAGGGAAGGAGGCAGCTGGGCCCGCTCCGGGTGGTGTCCTTGGCTAGCGGAGTGGCGTCGCTGTGACCTTCCGCCGCCCCTCGGGGCCTTGGTCTTTCTAAGCTCTTCCTTAGGAAGCCGAGAGAGAGGCAGAGAACGTGCACCTCGCCACCCACCGGACAAGCTGAGAGGACCTTGTCTTTGCTTGAAAAGTTTTCTAGATAAATCGCTCGGGTGGTTCTAAGCTATGATGAACCAGAGGCTGGGCCCGGTTCTTCTCCAGAACAGCGTGTGGATGTAAAGGAGATGAAATCGTCCTCTCCCACTGCTTTCTTTTTCTTCCCCATATAAATCAGTCATATAATTCATTCGCATTGTTTAAGGTACATTGATCAATCTAATGGCTTGTAATAGGCTCCTAATTGCCACTTGCAGAATCCTGCAGGCTCACATTTGAACAGGGAAGGTTCCAGGCAAGTCCACCTTAAGCTTGAGTTTGGGCGATTACAGAACCCAGGAAGAAAGTCTAGATGGCACAGTCACTCCGGTCTCAGTTCTACAGGGGAGGGAAGAAAGGGGGTGTTAGTGGGGATATTTGCTGTTCATTTTTCCCCCAATCTCCCTTCCAAATCTGTCACGATTAATGAGCAAAGCCCATGCCACAATTTATAGATTATTGTGGACTTAGGATCATTTTGTTGATATCAGACAAGAAACTTTCCTTACTTGCATCCTTGTGTCTGTATTTACAGTAAAAACTTCCTTAGTCACAAACGGATATGCATTTAGCCATACCTTTTCTTTTTACTTACTTATTTTTAATAAAGCAACATCAGGAGTTGTGATAGGAAATAACATGGGGGAGGGTGTGTTAAAGGGAAGGAAGGAGAAGCCAATCTTTATATCCCAGGGTGTCCTGGAGGTATGCCTACACTCCTGTTTAACATCTTGTGGTTGTAGTGCCTTCTCCAAGCCCTGGATAGAGGAGGAAAGAGTTGGAAGCCTCCTCAAATCTGCCTATGAAAGGGTAACACTGAGGAAACTGGTACCCTGGCTAGGAGAAACTGAGTAATGATCAAAATCCTGGCTCTGGCTTTTCTTGATATTAGTTCAGGTATATGTGAAAAGATTGCTTTAATGTCTCCAAAGGTGGTTCCATTAGAGTTGGCTGAGACAATACATGTGCATCATTTTGGAAGAGATGCTCTTAAAAAGAAGAAAGTGACTACAGAATACCACATTTGCTTAGGTCTAAGACCCTTCTTTGGTAGTTGGTGAGGGAGGGAGGAAAGTAAAACCCCAAGCTGAATAGGCCCCCCATAGTTTCTGAGTGATGCAGTAAACAAATCTATGATGCTTGTTGAATAATCTTCCAATAATTGCAGTCATTAAAATCATCACACAGTCTACAGTCACCTTCCTTCCTTTGACACACCAGTCTTTCCCTTAATTGTTAATGCATTTTGGGCTCAGATAAACAGATCGAGGCAAGCTTAAAATATATGGCCCAGATACATCTAACAGCAGAAAATTAGTTGTGTAACAAACGTTTGGACTATACTTAATAGACTAGGGGTTTTCAATTTCTTCAGTAGACCCTACAGAGGCAAGAAAGATTTGCATCTTCTACCACTGCTAAATAGCAGTGACGCCTCTGAGATACAAAAAAAAAGAAAAGATGAAAGTCCCATTGGCCTATTGAATCTTCCTTGCTCTTTCATTTGCAAGGGTTGGGCTGGAATTAGGACATTATAGAACAAATATTAAAGGAAAGCTCAACAGAAACTGTGGGAGAGTTCCTCAATTTTTAATTAATTTTCTCCATCCATTTGATCTCAACAACTGGTGCTTTAAAAAATATAAATATGTGTTAACTATAAAAGATTCCCCGCTAATCAAAGGCTGTATTTCATTTTCACCAACCGCTGACAAGACTCCAACTGTGGAAAGGATTCACCCAACTCAACAGGCACTATGGACCTTCCTGGGCTTCCTTCTTCCTTGCTCATGGCAGGCAACATTGGTACACAAGGGCAGCTTTTTCTTTTTTTAACTCAAGTTATTAATGTATCTCTGCAACTCCCACACCGTGCTGACCTGATAATCACTGCTCTAGTGAAGATCATGCAAATGAAAAGCATAATTAATTGCACAAATCATTTAAAAAGGAGTGCTGTGGCTTAGCAAATAAATAAAGGCAGTAGGGAGGACAGGTCAGATAAATGCTTTTTATAGGCTGGGCTCCCTTCACCCCCAACCCCTCCTCCTAGTCCAGGTGGTCCAGACTTTGACTGCAGCCAGCCTGGCCAAGGCAAGCACCTTCCGTTCCTCCTCCGCAGTGCCTCCCCTTCAACCATATTCCGGAGTCCCCCCAACTCCACCTCACCCCACCCCAACCTCACCCCACCCCAGTGGTGTATATCCGCTGCTAAACTCTGTGCTAGGTCAAAGCTCCGGGGAGACTGGGCAGTCACTTAATATTTAACCAGCTACTATATCTAGTTATTCAGAAAATAACTGGTCCTCCCAGTCGCCACTATGTTTTCTGCGCATCAGGGAGAAGCATTTTATCTGTGGCTTAGGAGGTCCAATCCTTCCTATCAGCGCTAATGACCGAATTGTTTCCCTGGCTTTGCCTTCTAAACACAGCAACTTGAGCAGTTGCTCAGATCAAAGCTCCCGGGAGAGCCTAGATGGGAGAAAAAATATTTGTTCAAAGGAAGTGAACTCTTCCCTTTAATTACCCTATTCTTCTTTATTAGGATTCGTATTGAATTTTTTTGCAAAAAAATTATGTTGATTTAACCATAGTGTATTTATGATGTAAATATATTCCAAGATGAAAACGTCACGGATCAATTGTAAAGGACCCGGATACATAATTTTAAAAAATCAGTTTCAGTGTATATGAGGTTCTCACCCCACTTTCGCTGCTCAGTCAGATTTGTTTATGCAGAATCGACATTTAATAGTGCTAATTGCACTCCAGTTAAATTGCCCTGATTGCAGAAAGGGAAGCAATTTTCGTGCTCTCTGTCTGGGTTTGGAAGAAATTGTTTTATATTCACCTCTTTATAAAGAAGTGGAGATAAGGCACCGGGGCCTTTGCACAAATTGCACTTAGGGGCTGACTGGCAGCATTCAGGCGCTATAATAGAGCATTATTTGGCCGTTTTGAATAATGTAAAGCGTTTGCTGAAAGCTATTCTCCTGAAAATTGCTTTAACTTTTAAAAGGGTGATGATTCACTCCAAACCAGGCCTTTGTTACATTGTCATTATTTCCCCAAATGTTTTAACAGTCAGCTCAACACTTTAGCATAACACATTGATCTTTGTTTAAAAACTAGATTTTTTAGAGGATGAAAAAAATCTGTCAGACGAAAAAAATCTGGACTTCCTCCGAAAGATTTCCTTGGGGCCCCACCTTAGAGTTGAAGTGGCCCGGGTGTTTGCCTGCGTTCGTTTGGAAGATTTCCCTAACTTTTATTGTGATGCAGACGCGTGTATCTAAAGGAATATGCGAGTGCCCACGTCTAGAATCTGACAGCTGGAACTACGGGAAAACGGCGGGAGGGGGAGGGGAGGGGACCCGAGGGGAGGAGGAGAAGAGGAAGGCGAGCAGGGCGCCAGAGCCCGAGGTGTCTGGAGAACTGTTTTAAATGGTTGGCTTGAAAATGTCACTAGTGCTAAGTGGCTTTTCGGATTGTCTTATTTATTACTTTGTCAGGTTTCCTTAAGGAGAGGGTGTGTTGGGGGTGGGGGAGGAGGTGGACGGGGGAAATCTTGGCGTTTCTCCTCCCCGGGCTGCACACGGTGAGTCGGAAACGCCTCGTTGCCACTTAACAATCCCTCTATTAGTAAATCTACGCGGAGACTCTATGGGAAGCCGAGAACCACTGTCTTCTTCCAGGGCAGAAGTCACCTGTTGGGAACGGCCCCCGGGTCCCCCTGCTGGGCTTTCCGGCTCGTCTAGGCGGTCTGATTTCTTCTCAACCCTCCATCCCGCGTCCCCCAGGGACTTTTCACACCTCCCCACCCCCATTTCCACTAGAGTCTCCCAGGGCACAGCACTTCATTGACAGCCACACGAGCCTTCTCGTTCTCTTCTCCTCTGTCCCTTCTCTTTCTCTGTCATAATTTCCTTGGTGCTTTCGCCACCTTAAACAAAAAAGAGAAAAAAATAAAAGAAGAAGAAAAAAAAACATTCTGAGCCAAAGTATTTTAACAGGAATCCAAGAAAGCGACCCTTATAGCCCTCCCCACCCACGGAGTGCGCCAAGACGCACCCAGGCTCCATCACAGGGCCGAGAGCAGTGCCACTCTGGTCGTACTTTTAGGTCAAGAGATCTTGCAAAACAGGAGAGAAAACACGGGTGGCACAGTTCCACATCCTTGTCATTTGCACCCGCTCCGCGACAACTCATCGTTTGCACTCGAGGGTTTGGGGTTGGTAGTTTAATTTATTTTTTTCCTAAGAAGTAGGGTGTGGGTTTGGTGGGGAGTGTGCTATGTTAAAACCAGCGCCCAGGTCTGCCCTAGGGCGCTGGTATTTCTGGTTCAAAAACAGCTTCTGGTTACCCTGGAGAAGAAAGAGAAAGCGGGGCCCAGAAGAGAAAAACAAGCAGTTCAGCGGTTCCTGGGGGACTCGAAGACGCACCCTGGTCTGTTTGAGGACACCTCTTTTCACACTGACAAGGTCCAGGGAGGACTTCAGGATGCTTCCAGCCTGCAAAATGTGGGGGCGCCCACGTGTGGCCTGGACCTCCGCCTTCCCGGGTGAAAATCCTGGAGAGATTTCTCGGGCACGTCCGTGAAAGCAGGGCACTAAGGGGGACTCCACCTCTTAACACGGCGCACTTGCCTTACAGACGAGACTCTAGGCCTTGGCAGTCTGGAGTGGGAGTGGGCTGGAGCTGGGACAAGAAAATTCCACTCCAGGATGAAACGCGACATGCAAATCTTCACCGGGTTAAACAAACAGCCGAGCAAGCTGCAGCTTCAGCGGAGGTGGAGGTGGGGGCGGACGCCACTCGCGCCGGTCTCTGTTTCCAAAGTTGTTACAATGTGAAAATAAGCGGCTTCGTGCAGCGTGTTGTATGGGCTGATGCCTCCCACCCCCACGCCAGCCCCCAGCAAAACCCGGCAGATAATCAGCACATCCCACTGTTTAGTCATATTTGACAACTGGGTTAACCTGGTATCTTAGCGCTGGCGAAACCGTACAAAGGGTGCCCTCAATTACCACCAGAAGCCTCTAGCGTGAGTGGCACTTGTATTACCCCCCGGGTCAGAGGCCAGAGCGACAATTAGGAAGTCACTTACACCGCTGGGGGGAAATGGCGGGATGCAGCAGGCTCCAGGCCCTCCCAACAAATCTGTGGATGTAGATCTGTACAGAGAGGCCTATTTCGCTCCTCTCAGAGGAACTGTCCCTTCGTGCCCCCTCCCCAGTATAACTGTGAGAGTAACATTGAATCTCGTGGAATAAGGAATTGGGTAGAAGACACACGAAAATGATTTAAAAAAAAAAAATCCCAAGCAAGAATGATAGATATAAGCTGAAGTTGTGTTCTGTAGGCAAGAGCCTGGACACACAAAGTGAGGGCTGACATTTCCGTCTCCACTTGGGCCCTGCTGGTGCGGGCTGTGCCTGGGTGTCTCCTCCTCTCCTGCCTCCTTTCCTACAAGTGGGGAGTCGAGTAGGACTGTCAGCCCTAACTTGCAACATCTCGGGGTGGTTTGTGTGTGTGTGTGGGGGGGGTGCTTGTGGCCCGGTTTCATTGGTACTTAAACCTGGCTTGGTGCGTGTGTGCAAATTTTTAATTGCACTGTAATTTCTTCAGTCCCCAGCCCGCCCTCGCCCCCCACCCAAGTATCCCCCCTACTCTCCCCCACCCCCGCCGCCCTAGCTAGCCGACTTGACTGGCACGCGCCGGGAGCCCTGGCCCGGGCCCCTCGGCGCGTCTGATTGGCTGCGGGGCAGCTCCCGTCTGCTCTGCCTGCGCCCTCATTGGGTGAGAGGCGCAGCCAGCGGCACTTCAAAGCGGGTGCTCCTCGCACTTAGGCTGAGTTTAGCCGGCGGGAGCCCGGAGTCCGCTCGGCGCGAGCGCGGGGACGCGGGAGCCGCGCGGGACCCAAGCAGTTTTTCCGAGCAGCCGCCAGGCTCAGCCCCGCTCCCAGCCTCGCTGCGCAGCCAGAGACCTGCTATGGCCACGTCTATACTCGGGGTAAGTCGCAAGCGCGGCAATGCATTTGCTTGTTTTAACCAGAGTAATTTTTCGTTATGGCTTCTGGGGTCTGCGGCTCCCGAGAAACTGTTGCTGCTGGACTGCAGCTTCAGCTTCTATTAGCACTTGCCACATTTCTGGGACTGATTTTTTCCCAAGTTTTTGGAACCCAGCAGATGCCTTTGCAAGAAAAGGCCTTCTTAATGAAGTCCTTTTTTACTTGGTTTCAAAGAAAAGCTAGAGGTTTCTTTTCTTCCCCTCGTGATTTATACCCCACCCCCCGCCTTGCTTTGGGGATTTTTTTTGCAATTATGCGACAGTGGTGTTTCCAGAAAACAGTCTTAATCGTTTTGCAGTCCATCTAGTCACGCTAATAAATATTTACATTTCCGCGGCTCCCCAGTTCGCCCGTGACTTTGAAAATACGTCTCTGGCCGCTTATCCTTGGATTGTTGTTTTCATAATCGCTGTGTTTGTGTGTGTGTAAACTTTAAAACCAAACGTTTTCTATTAAAAAAGAAAAGTCAAGTCGTAGCCACCCTGGGAGTGCTGCAAGTTTCGCCCCGTCCCTGGCTGCTGTTTCGGTCGCCTCCGCCCTCGCCCAGTGTTTGTTGTCTCTGGTCTCTGTGTTTACCTTCGCGCGTCACCCCGAAGGGCGACTTGGGGTCTTCTGGGAGAGGAGCCGGTTTACCGCGACAACCCAAGTCCGGTTGTAGTCAGGGTTGCAGCGACTGAGGCGGGGAACACGGAGGCATCTTTGATTTACAGCCTCAGCGAAGAGCAACTTTCCGGCCCCCGGACCTTCGCCGCGGTGATGGCCACTGTCCCGCGCCCGGTGCGGTGACTCTTCCGCGGGCGCGTGGGGAGGAGGCGCGAGGCGGGGAGCTAGGGCCCCCCCCGGGAGCAGCCGCAGGGGACGAGGCTGCTCACGGGTGCACTTTCTTTCTTCCCCACTTCCTCCTGCCCTCCTCCTCCTTGCTCCCTCCCCCATCCTACCCACTTTAGGAAGAGCCGCGCTTCGGAACGACCCCGTTGGCCATGCTAGCGGCGACCTGCAACAAGATCGGCAACACGAGCCCGCTGACGACGCTGCCGGAGTCGAGCGCCTTCGCCAAAGGCGGCTTTCACCCCTGGAAGCGCTCCTCGTCCAGCTGCAACCTCGGTTCCAGCCTCTCGGGCTTCGCGGTGGCCACCGGGGGCCGTGGCTCGGGCGGCCTGGCGGGCGGCTCGGGCGCCGCCAACAGCGCCTTCTGCCTGGCCTCCACGTCGCCCACGTCGTCCGCCTTCAGCAGCGACTACGGCGGCCTCTTCTCCAACTCGGCGGCTGCCGCGGCGGCAGCGGCCGGAGTGTCCCCGCAGGAGGCGGGTGGCCAGTCGGCCTTCATTTCCAAGGTGCACACGACGGCGGCCGACGGCCTGTACCCGCGCGTGGGCATGGCGCACCCGTACGAGTCGTGGTACAAGTCGGGCTTCCATTCGACGCTGGCGGCCGGCGAGGTGACCAACGGCGCGGCGTCGTCGTGGTGGGACGTGCACAGCAGCCCGGGGTCGTGGCTGGAAGTGCAGAACCCCGCTGGGGGGCTCCAGAGCTCGCTGCACTCGGGCGCCCCCCAGGCCTCGCTGCACTCGCAGCTGGGCACCTACAACCCCGACTTCAGTTCGCTCACGCACTCGGCCTTCAGCTCCACGGGTCTCGGCTCCTCCGCCGCCGCCGCCTCGCACCTGCTCTCCACCAGCCAGCACCTGCTGGCCCAGGACGGCTTCAAGCCGGTGTTGCCCTCCTATTCGGACTCCAGCGCCGCCGTGGCAGCCGCCGCCGCCAGCGCCATGATCTCGGGCGCCGCGGCCGCCGCCGCCGGGGGGAGCTCAGCACGCTCTGCCCGCCGCTACTCGGGCCGCGCCACCTGCGACTGCCCCAACTGCCAGGAGGCGGAGCGGCTGGGCCCGGCCGGGGCGAGCCTGCGGCGCAAGGGCCTGCACAGCTGCCACATCCCGGGCTGCGGCAAGGTGTACGGGAAGACGTCGCACCTGAAGGCGCACCTGCGCTGGCACACGGGCGAGCGGCCCTTCGTGTGCAACTGGCTCTTCTGTGGCAAGCGCTTCACGCGCTCGGACGAGCTGCAGCGGCACCTGCGGACTCACACGGGCGAGAAGCGCTTCGCCTGTCCTGTGTGCAACAAGCGCTTCATGCGCAGCGACCACCTGAGCAAACACATTAAGACGCACAACGGGGGCGGCGGGGGCAAAAAGGGCAGCGACAGTGACACGGACGCCAGCAACCTGGAGACGCCCCGTTCCGAGTCCCCCGACCTCATCCTGCATGACTCCGGCGTCAGTGCCGCCCGGGCGGCGGCGGCTGCAGCGGCTGCGGCGGCGGCGGCGGCGGCGGCGGCGGCCTCCTCGGGAGGCAAGGAAGCAGCGTCTGGCCCCAACGACTCTTAGAGGCCGGGCGAGAGGCGCGAGCACGCGAGCGAGTAGAGACACCGAGAACGAACGAGAGGTTCGGAGGGCGAGAGAGCGGGGGACGGGAGGGCAGGGGCTTCAGTGACGCCCCCGGGGCCCCGGCTGGACGCGAGGTGGAGCCGCTCAGGGTTCCCGGGCTGCGGTTCGCCCGCCGTGCGAGGAGCTCCCCTCGGCCTTCGGCGCCCGGATGAGAATCGAATGCGTGGTCCGGAAACAAAAGCGAACCATCCTCCGACACAAACACTTTAAAAACCGTACTCCCAGACGTACACATACACCGGAGACCTGCAACCACAAGCACGCACACTCGCGCGCGCACACACATACCACTCGCCCAAACTTCTCGAGCGAAGAGCAATACATAGAAAGGCTCCCTCTTTGCCCACTATCCACCCCCCTCCAACACCCGTCTCTTTCCTTTTCTCAAAAACAAGTCACCACCCAGCAAAGGACTGTCAGAACATTTGAAAACAAACGGGACCGATAAAAACACCCTTTGTGTGGATTATATTATATATAAAATGCTCCAAGTCCTGCCTGATGTCTACTTACAATGAGACTTTTCCTAAAAAAGGAAGCATCGAAAGGCTTAAGGTGAGAAATTAAACTGGAAGTCTAGCGACAGTTTCTCTGTATTTCATAACATCTGTATAAATAGGGTTCAAAATATTGTGTTCTCTTTTATTTTCTTGTAAATGTTCATTCGAATAGAGTTTTTTTGGGTGAATCCCTGAAATTCAGGGAGTTTTTTTAATTTTCTGATGCACTTTGTGAAAGTCAGTATATATGTAAAAGATATTTAAAATGTTGAGTTATCATTTCACTCACAAACACGTAAGTTAAGGTCATCTAAAGAAATTAAATGCGTTTATCTGTATGAAGAAAATCTTGACATCATATTTTCATTTTGGTATTATTAAAGGACTCTGAACAATACATTTCCTTTTTTAAAAATCCTGTTTCCCCCTCAGTAACCTTTTCGTGGGTCGATATTTTTTTTTTTCGGTTGGGAAAAAATTCCCTTAATGTTAGTTGTAGGTAATGTAAAGTTTATGTGGGTTATAAAAGCCATACTACATATACGTTTTTGAGAAGTCAAAATTATTTATTTGTATATCAACAGCATAAATTAAATTGGGTTATAAGGACGTGTAGTTGCATTGCTTAATGTGAAGGCTCTCAAAAGGTGACATTTTAAAACTCTGGAGCACCTAAAAAATGCTAAGGTCCTTAGCAGCTTTAACTGAGGAGGTGCCTAAACCTCTGGGAGGCGTCAGAGAAAATTCTGGTGGGTTTGTTTGTTTTTAAAAAGTGATTTAAAAACAATCTGTGAAAGGAAAACGCTTTTAAAAAAGAAGTCTTTAGCTCCCAAGGCCCTGTATGTTGGAAGGCAACTCAAGGGAATAAATCGCTAGAGTCAATACCCCGGAAAAGACATTTCATGCCTAAATGAAAATCTTGTTAAATGTTATTAATTTTGACTTAGAGCACACAGCAGCCCCCTGTGCCTTGTATTCCCTTATTAGGGATTCATGTCTTATCAAATATCTAATTAATCTCCTAGACATCATTTGTTCTGGCCAACTTTATCTCAGCTGGTCCGCGGGGAAAACTCCAAATATTCTCTGTGACAAAGCTCCCTTGAAGATCTTTTTAATTGTCTAAATTAACTGCACCAAATTTGCATGTCAAACGGTAAAGGGCAACCTGAGATAAAATGTAAACGTTTTAAAAGCCCCCAAACTAAGCACTTGATTTGATAACTAGGCTTTTTAATGTTATGGAAGACAACTGCTCCTTTCCTTTTCAAAGACGGCTGATCTATGCAAATAGTGAATTGGAAATGCCTAGGTCCCCGCGCCGTCAAATGGCCCTCGCAGGTTATTTGAATATCAGTGGCGCTGCTTCTGAAAAGGTTCAAGGATGCTCTCTGACTTCTTTGTGATTACTCAGTGCGGCGTCTTATTCTGAAGAAAAAAACTCGGGAATAATTAAAGGCTGGGATCAGGCCTGGGAACACATTTGGGACAGGAATCTCATTTAGACAGTCTCTTTCAAAATAAGGCACAGTTAAATTGACCAGAAGGCAATTATTGAAATGAAAATTATTTTCACTCTCTTTGTCTTCTGACCACCAACTTAACAGCCCCAGTTTAAAAGAGGGAGAAAAGAGGGAGAGACAAAAAGAAAATTGGTAAATGAGATAATTTCGCAATTCGAAAAAATTTTAATTTAGAAAATAAAGTACATATTTACAGAATAAAAATATTTCTAAAAGACTTCCCACACAAGAGGAAATACAAGCGAAGTCAGCACCAACATAATTTTTTTTTCCCATTTTTGATTACTGTCCACCTTGGGAATTTGAGCGAAGGTTTTGATTTTTAGGAAAGAAAAAATAAATTATTGTTATTAACAATCATCAAAATGTTTTCTCGGAAACTGTTCTGAAACACCAAGTCGCAAAGTAGCGATAAAACAGAACGAAGTTCCCCAGCAGGGAGTTTGCAGCGTGACATTCAATGGCTTCTTCCTTCTCCTTCTTGAGCTCCCCGCAGCCAGGCTGCCCCGCTCTTCTTCCTGGAGTTTTTCTTCACTTTGGCCTTTTTCTCTCCCCGATCAAGCTGTTCATAACCGGGAGCCCCCCACTCCCTAAGCGCCTCTGGTCGGGGGATGGTCTTCTGGAGAGCCGGCTGGTAGGGGCGCGTTTCCTGGAGGGGCTTCGGGCCGCAGCACTGGAGGCCCAGAGGGTGCCTGGCGCGTTTGGGGGCCGCGGGCTGGCGGCGCGGGGTAAAGGGTGTGGTGGGTCTCCCCAGGAACGCGGGCGCCCGGGCGTCGGGCCCAAGCAGCTTTGTTTGTCGTTGATAATAAAGGCAGATCAAAGGGCCCGGCTGTGCAGGTCCCGCTGGCCGCGCGGCTCCCTCCGCAGGCCAGTGATCAAGGCCTGTGAGCGCTGCCTCTGCCCCGCGGGTCAGCGGACGTCCATCACCCAGGCTCCTGGGAGCGGCGGGCGGCTGCCCCGGCCCGAGCGTCCAGCCGGGAGACAGCAGCCCACGGAACCTGAGCCCAGAGGGAGCGGGGCCCCGGGGCCTGGGGCCCCGGCCGAAGCCAACAGGCGAAAAGAGGGCCTAGGCCCCCTGCCTGGCCTCCCCCCAGCCCTAGGCGCCCTTGGGGGCACGGGGAACCTTGACTTGAGCGGGTGGCGACCGGCCGGCCGGGGTTGACCAAATTGGAGACAGAGCGCGTGGGAGGCGAGAGCTCCCCAGTTAGAACACGAGTTCGGTCCCCAATTGCGGTGGGTCCGCGCCTCCCCAGGGCCACCTCGGGGCTCTAGAGGCCTGTGCCTCTCTGGCTCAGGGGCCAGAAGGAGCTGGAGGCGGTGGCCAAGGGCCCAAACTCAGAGGTGGGTAGCGGCCTGGAGGTCCGCGCGGGCGGGGGCCGCGGCCTGGGGGCACAGAGTCGCGCCCGGGCCCGGGTGAGGGCAGTGCGATTTCGAGTCCCCCAGTTTCCCTGGCGTTTCCTGTCCCATAGCTTGCAGCGCAACAGAGGAACGAAAAGCAAATTTTCCTCCGCCCTGCGCTCACCCAGCCACGATCCGCACCATCCTCCGGCGTTTCCTTTTCTGACACCAGTTTTCTCCCCTTGGAATGAACTGGATTCTACCTGACAAGGAAAAAGAAAAAGAAAAGAAAGAGATTTTCTTTCCTCGAGGAGGGAAACAACATTATTTTTACGAGATTAGATTGTGCACCTGAATGGTGTGTCTGGACCTTCCGTCAAATGGTTACAAGTCGTGTAAAATTGAATTTCTTTTTATTCGGATGGAAACTTTATTTATTTTAACTCTAATCTTATTTGCATCTATTATCTGTATTCACCAAGGCTCTCTTCCACTACAAAAATGCAGATGAAGTAAATCTCACATAAATCCCGCCCATTTGTGTAATTGGTATACTAAGTGTTTATTTTAAGTGAGAATAATTTAGCTACAAATTTTCTTAAGGAATAACATTCTTAACACATTAAAAAAACTGAAAACTCTGATTTGCTTTTATGTTTGACAGTAGCTCTTGATTCCCATAAGAGGAGCTTGGCGAGTGCGGCTCGCTGGCGCCACCTAGAGCTCCGAGGCGGGAAGGCCGCCGCCTGCCCGGCTTGCGGCTGTCAGCGTGTGGAGACCGGCTTTTGCCGCGAGCAGCAGCAACCAAGCGGATCCTGCGAAGAAACGCGAGGGTTTGCGTTCCAGCGGGGAACGAACCCTGCTATTGGGCGTGGGGAGCACTACTTGGCATTGGCTTTTGGGCAAAAGGGTCGTTTCTGGAACGTGCTAACTGAAAATCCAAACAAAACAAAGTAAGGACCGGTTGGCCCTGGTCTTAGAATTGTCGCATTTAACATCCTTTTCAAGGCAACTTCAGGGTCTTCCAACTTAAAGTTGAGAGCGCTGAAGCGTTGTCGGCAGCGACGTGGACCCCAGGATGTGGGGATCCAGCTGTGGACGCAGACCCCTACGACTCTGCATCCGCGGCTCCCGGCCCGCAAGGCCCGCGTGGACTATCCGGGGCCAGCTGGAACCAGGCGGATTCAAACAGGTCACCAAACCATCCCACCCTACCACCCTCCCGTGGACAATCAGGGAGGCCAGGGACCCGCTGCTTTCGCAGACTCAACCCGAGGCGGGCCAGAGCAGCCTTCTGCCTCGCATTTGTCCTCCGGCGGACACCCCAGCCCGAGTGGGGCGCGGGGGGCCGGCTGGGCAGTCAGGAGCCGGGTCGGGCGTGCAGGGCCCCCGAGGGCGGCGAGAAGCCCCCAGATGCCCAGCTCCAGGCCTCCCCGAAAGGTGCGCTCATCCTCCCGGAGCAAAACGACCCCTTTTGTCCTCTCCTTTTCCCTTTGAAACCCAAATCTGAAATCGGGTAACAGTTGGGCGCGTTGGCCAATTTTCTCTCCTCTCAGTGCATCGTCCTACCCCCGCCGCCCCTTTCCGTCCTCTTCCAGTCCACTGTCTCCCTGACCCCAACCCGTCTTCGGACTACGTGGAGTGACTTCCTCCTCCTCCATTTTTGTGCCCCCCACCTCCCCAGCGCATATTTATTGTATTTTAATTTTAAAAGCGACACCTTCAAACCCTGCGCCCGAGGCGGCGGAGGCGCCGTCACCCGCAGCCACGAAAGCCTGGCCAGGGCGCCTGGGTGCCGGGCTCCCTGAACTCGCGCCGGGGAACAGCAGCGCGTTTCCGGGGACTCGCAGCCACCTTTGCGGCGGGTAACTCGACTGGGTTTGTATTTGCTGTTTTAATACAAACCCCGCCACACTGCCTATTTCAAATATGTGCTAATTACTACTTGGATAGCAGGGCGCAAAGTCCTTGTCCATTTCCCAGTACAAAGTAGGTTGCTAGAAAATTTGAAATTGCCTTTCAGCCTAAAGCTGCCTTACCTGAATGTCATAATTACAGTAATTATGTACATCCAAATTACATGCTAATTAAATTAGAATCAAATCGTTCTAAATCGAAATCAAATGAGGTAGTGAAGAATTAATCAATGACAACATAAATAGAGAGCTTCCTTCAGAGATATTTATTGTAACGATACAAGGAGGAATTTGATCTGAAAAAGTCACCTGTTTGTTTACTTTCAAATTAGTAATCAGTTATTATCCCTTCTCCATAATTTTAACCGTTCACTGTTATTTACCCCCCACCCTTCCCAGACGCTGGAGTGTATAGAAATATGTATGAGGTAAATATATACAGACATGCCTCCCCCATATATTGTTGACATAAATATAGACTGTGTGTTTGCAACTCCAGTTAAGGAAAGGGTTTCAGAATGTCCGTGGGGACACGTCCCTCCAGGGCCGGCTGTCGAGGACCCGGAAAACCACAACCCCTAAGAGTTCCAGTTTTTCCAAGACCCTTATACTCTCTTCCTTTAGAATTTCACACTGGGGATTTT